TAAAAAACAAAGCAAAACAAACTTACAGGTACGTTTGCATCCATTTAACCCCTAAATCATTTTAAACTTAAAAACATACACATTCACTTTGCCTGACAATTGCTTATTTCTAAAAATCAAACTGCACAGACCAGCAATGACTCTTTGGATTTGCTCTTGTTGATAAATGCACTGCTTCTGTGTGTGATTAAAATGTGTGCGTAGCATCCACAGTGTTACCTTCCACATGCCATTACACGCTGCAGTCGCACACTGCCAATCTGGAGCTCTTCCCACGAATCCTGAAAAAGCAAAGCAGTTGGTTTTGGAGTTGGAGACAAATTTAGTCCACGCTGTTCACACCGAAAAGGGTGAGTTATTAGTCACAAGTAAAAGGACCAAATGATCGTCTTTTCAGCCAGGAAAAATAAAACAAAAGCTAATCACCAGTAGTGCAGACAGACATGAGAGCTAATATTTTTAAGACCTTAACTGGCTATAAACTAGTTTTTGCTTTTCTTTGTAGACAAGAATATCAGGAGGTACGGGCATTAGTTTTTTTAGGCAAAGGCTGAACAACGCACCTCATCGAATGGTTTACAGTCACTTATCACAATGTTGGGGCGGAAGCGCTCAACCGTGACTCCCTTCTCTAACTTGCTGCTGAGATCCTTAACAGAAGCCTCTGACAGCAGCATCACAGGTCCAAAATCTGGGTAGGCCACCTCCTGGATAACACATCACAACAGGATCAGGGCATTTTGGCTTGAAAGATGCATCAAATTTAAGCATTAAAATAAACTACAAAGCATGTAGTACCTCAAATTGTTGGTAAACAGCCTCTTTCTCAGCTGGTTTTCTAGGCCTCATGCAAGGTTCAAAGTGCACCAGGCGATAGGTTTTCTCTGCCTTAAGGTAATGAGTAAGCCAGTGAGACACTTTGTCACCACAATCCCGGCCCTGAATGTCAACGCCAAACACTCTACAGGACAAAAAAGTAAATAAACACAAAAACACAGAAGAAGCATTTATGTAAATCTCAAACTAGAGGTTAGAAAAAACGCCACTGATTATTTGGCCAATTTATCAAAAGATTCAGACTCTGAAAGGCAGAATTATCACTTTATGACTGTATTAATTCACTGACTGGTCCAGGTTCAGTTTGCATCCACGTCAAACTAAACTTTACATTCAAAATGCATTCACTTCATAACTTTACTATATAAGATACAGTAAGAAACTGAATTATCCACCAAAAGAAGACCGAGCAGTATAAATTAAAAGCAGACGTAGAACCTGCAGTCGAGGACGGGGTTGTCGGGCTGTTTGATGGGGAACTTGAGTTCCTCCATGTTTGGGCCGTTTAAGCAAACCTGTCCTCCCTCACAGGTCAGAGACACCAAAACCAGACGTGGCTCCTGTCTGCCTGTCACCATGTGACCGTCCTCTGTCACCACCATCCAGTGTCTGCAAACAAAACAAATAGAAAGCTGGATTTCCCTCACCCATCTGCATTATTTGGCATCCCAATTTAATTCCATCATCTGGCAAGAAACCCACACAAACTCAAGACAATATTAAAGGAATAGCGAAAAACGGATAACAAGATGGGAATCAATGACATCACAGGTTGCCATGGCTAAACTGAGTCATACAGAAATCCCAGATTTACGTCATAATTTATTAATATCCCCTGGTTGAAAATTGTTCTGGGTGTCATCCAGAAAGGCTCATGCAAGGTAGCACTGTCAACACATGTATTTAAAGAGTTAGAAAATAGGATATCCTTTCATAATAAAAGTTCCCTTATAATAAATATCTATACCCAAATTTTGAACTACAGCTCTGTTTTGAATGTATAAATAGCATGACATCCTTAATGTGTCAGCGAGGAGGGAGAGAGCATTTTTTGAAGTTAAAAATATTTATTATATTATAAATATAATAAATATTATATAACCATGTATAATCATTACAACTGTTAAACACTGTCCTCACTGTTACATTAAAAAAAATCCTCTTACCCACCATTTATATTTATCAGTATTAATTCAACATTAAACAACACTTAGGGTACAAAAACATTTGCTTTTTGAAAACTAGTTTGTGCATTTGAAGAAGCAGTGCTGGGAAACCTTGTGTGTGTGGGACTCGTACATGTGTTCTCTGTACTCAGCTCAGGCGCTTTTATAATCTTATGACCGTCCCCTTTAATCTTTGTTAGCTCAGACTAAATATATTTACTTTTTACTTTGCAGGTGCAAATCTGATGTATTTGCCTTCACGTAGCACCTTTGTACAAGTGCAAGTTTTATCCCACACTTAAAATATTTATACACCCCATATCTGTGACCAATTTTGAAACACCAGTTAACCTCAAATGCACGTCTTTTCTCTGTGACAGGAAGCTGGAAAACCTGCAGTAAACTCATGCAGAAAGATCCCAGTTGGGAATTTAACCAGGAACCTTCTTGCTGCGGGGTGACAGCACCAACCCTTCCTGCCTGTCTCTGCAGGAATCTGGACAAGTGTGGCGGCAGCATAGGCACCTTTTCTGGTGATGCAAGGGTCCCCCTTGAACTCTGATATTATGACTAATAATCATTTATATTTATTGGCTTTTTGTACACTGAAGCCGTTTTAAGCCAAATCTGACCGATTTCTCCTGATGGATTAGACCAGACCTTCCCAAAGTGTGGGGAGCAGAGCCATGGCGGGGGGACAACTAAATGCTTGGACACTGCTAGCACAGGTGTCTACAGAAACGCAAAGCAGGAGATGAAGCATCGCTGAATATGTTTCCAAACAAACTTCATTCTAAGCCAAAGACTAGAAAATATGGTGAAGCATATCTTCCCTTTGGCTTCATCTGCACAAGTGCCGAGGTAGGTCTCCCCTGCAGAGACAAACAGTATCCCACATTCGTGATTTTTAGTTCACAAACACTTCTTGTAATGACTAACTACTCCTGACATTTTGGAGATATACATACTATACTATACTTTATACAGTAAAGTTACAGTGGGATACAAATAACATCAGGCTGATCCTGCCACGATTTGTCCCCTGGGTTCAAATCACGGACAAACAGTATCCCACAGCTGTTTATGTTTTTAAGCCCATTTTGCACAGAGAGGCACTTTTTGAAAAATGTATTGATAGCAATGTTGAATATTATTACACAGGAAAAAAAAAACAACTACATGTAAAATAATGACACCGTGATGCCTCTGTCTTTGTAAATGGAGGAACAGTAACTGCGTGTAAAACCTGCAGATAGAGACAAAATACTGTTAATCTGACTATCTGCCATTCTGCAATTCATCTCATGTAAACAATAACGTGGCGCACAGCGTGACGTGAAAAAAGGCGCATACCTTTGACGTTGCATGACGAACTCTCCGTTTTCGGTGATTCGAAACGCCGTTTACGTGTGGACGAAACAGCTGCGTGTTCACAAATACCCGTGTAGGTGCGGACGCAGCGTAAAAGAGTTAGTAGTTTATTTTATTACTACCTGTAATTTATTGCAGATTACTTGTATTTGCTTAATTGTTTACTAAATGTTTGAGGTGTGAAATAAACCGCAATGGAGCAAAATATGGGTGTGTGTGGTTAGAGGATGTGTGTGTGCGCGCGCGCGTGCACGCGGGAGGGGGGGGCGCGAACATTTTTTCTTATAAAACAAAGGGGGGCCCAGCAAAAAAAAGTTTGGGAACCACTGGATTAGACAAACGTCTGTATTCCAGGTTCCCACAGAGACATGGACTTGCTGTTGATACAGTAACACTGCATAGGCATGATGGTTATTTATGGTACACTTAAAACCATAAGGAACAGAGGTAAGAAGTATGGTAATGTGTGAAATGTTTTAACCATGGCAGTGTGATTTTGTTTAATTGTCTCCCATATTCTTTACCCGAGTAAAAAATGCTCTGTTAGAATCTGGTTTGATATCCATGTTGACACAAACACACCCACACAAACCAAAATAAAACATAATAAATTAATTAATATTTACACAGTAGCTTATCATTAACTATATAAACGTTTTGTACTATGCTTTTGTTAATTTAAATGCCGTTTTGTTTTTTGTTTTGTTTTTGTTTTTTTTTTACACAAAAACTTATTCCCTATATAAACTTTATTATTCGTCAATTGTTCATAAAACATTAACTGAAAAATAATCTGGGGGCTTCCGTGCAGGGGTGTCTCCAGGATTTTTTAGGGGAGGGTCCATGGGAATATCAGAAAGTTCCTACAGAATTTTTTTTTTTTTTTTAAAACAAAGTGGTTGAAAATTCACTGACTTGTTGTGATTTCATGAATTGAAAGACCTCATGTCTCCATAAGAAGACAAGTAGGAGACGTCGCTGCCCTGCAGTAAGATTTAATGGCGAGGTAACGAAGAATGGTTACAGCGGTAAATATATTTTATTTAATTAAACGGTGGAACTAATTAACAATAAATACTTTTTTTTTTTAAATTTATTTATTGATTGCAATACTCACCGATCCTGCAGCTCTCCGAACTTCAGCCCCATTTTCTGGCACTCTGCAAGCGCCAAAGGCACCGCTTTGCCAGACTTGAGAGGGTGAATGAGGAGCTGCGACACTACGCCCACACGAACAGCTTTTTCTGGCTTTCGCAGGTATTTATATCCAAGACCGAGTCCCAGAATTGCAACTCCGGCTCCGCCGATCAGGAGAGCGGCTTTCTTATTCTGGGACACTGCGTCCGCAGCCAGCTTCCTCAGATCCATTTTGAAGCCTCGAAGAATTTTTCGGACTCTGAACTTTTGTTAAAGTGACAGCGGCCTCTGCGTGCGACGTTCAGAGACCCTGGGTCAGCAGCAGCACGCTGCAGGGAGACCGTTTTATTAACGTGATGCACTTCAGCTGCTGTGAGTGACTGAGCAACGAGGACTTCTTGTTTATTTTGCTTCACCACCAATAAAAGCTCTCTCACCTCTGAAAATTTTCAAACATCATGCATCACATTTCTTTCTTTCTCCATAACCTGTAACTTTAAGATGCCAGTGAGTAATTAATTATCTCCAATCTGTCAAATCAACCTTGTGTTGGAAAATGTAGAAGATAAAATTTTGTTTGAAATCACATAAACACCAAGGACACTTTAGTCCATCTGTTTAATTGGCAGCAACAATGAGAGGCAAACCTTCAGTTTTAACCTGCTCAGATTTTTTCCCCCAGAAACAGAGAAGAAACCAAGTGATGTAAGGTCATAGCTGACCTTCTCAGTGAAACTATTTTTGTCTTTGACATAGATACTCAGGTCTATAGCCAAAGTAGAAAACAGCAGATGCTTCAGCCGTGGGGGGTCAATACAGGGATTTGTCGAATGGATAGTCCTTCTGTTGCTTTTTTGTGCTTCATGTCTGATGGCTGAGGGCAGATTCACAGGCACCAAGCCAGGCTTTGCAAGATGGTTTGATGTTGCAATGGCAGGCAAATCTTGATAACGAGATGCGGTCCTAATTGCCCTGAGCACACTTTGATGTATCAATTTCATTCTAGGTGCATAAAGAAATCTTTATTTTTATAAAGCCTAAAATGAGGCTGCTTCCTGTTACTGGGCCTCTAATCCACTTTAATGATGCTTTATTTTGGAAAATTAGAGCGCCGCTTTCACTTAAAATCACTCAGACCAGTGGTTTTCAACACAAAAATATAACAACAGGCTCAAAATAAATCTGAGGGTTCACGAAAAACAGAAGAAAGTTTTCAGCTTTTCACAGAGTTGATATCATAATGTGGAACTGCGCAAATGTCTTGAGCCACCTCTAATTTCTTTCTTTTTTTCTTGTTTTTTCAGAAAAATGGGAAATAGATGTAGTTTGTTAAAAGATGCAAACACATGTGGAAATACAGTATAGTATTCTTATTCTTCTGAACTCTCTTGGACAAGCTTTCTTTAAGTAGACTTCAGGAATCATTCTCCAGGCTTCTTGAAGGACGGCAAAGCTCCACTTCAATAATATCCAGGTATACCTTCACTGCACTGGCATCCTGTTTGGGGTCATTTTCATACTTAAATTTGAAACTATTATGAGATGGTGGCCAGATGATGTCACCAACTGATCTCCTCTGTATCCACTTGGGAAAAAAATATCAAATTTGGATTCATCACCCCATAAGACCTGTTGGCACCTGAGACCATTGCTGATGAGGTTTCAGTGAGCAGAACCAAAAGTTTGTTGAGATATGTCAGGTACAAGGACTGGACTGGAAAGTGAAAAAGCAGCCAAAACTTTGAAAGACCTTCAGAAAGACTAGATGACTGTTCCTCAAGACCAAACGTACAAGAAAGTCCAGATCCTTGGAAATATTTTTAAAAAAGAGTGACGAATCAACACTCCTGAAGAATACTATATATTTATAATATATAAAAACAATATTTGACCTTAAACAAGATAGTCCAAAACCCCCAACTTTTACACATACCTTTATTTTATTGCACAATTGCAAATTATTACATTTTTGAAACTGTATTCCTTTAATGAAAATGGTGATTTAAGACTTCAGATATCAGTGACACATATTGCCAAGGAAACAGTAAGACTTTCTCTCATTGGTCTATAATAGCCAAATCAGTTTTTAATTAAAAAGAAAAAAAAGAAAAAAAAGAGTTGTGTTCTGGTAGCATATTTAAAGCTCAAACATCAGCACCTTCCCCTAAACTGAAAGTGCAGCATCAAAGTGACGTGTTTCTATGACATAATGATGCATTGCCAAACTTTTGCTCGTGACTAACCTGCTGTAGGTTGTCCAGAACTGGACTGAAGTCAGAATTCCCAGGGGGAAACCATCTGGACCAAACAGTCATTTCTATACATTCAGCAGGCTTTTTTTTTTTTCTTTCACACAGCACATGTTGATAAGCAGCATGGAGATCATAAGTCACATGATTACAGCTTATATGGCCTGTAGATGGTGATTTTGTGAGCAGGAAAACAACAGTTAAAACTCAATATTATTCATTTATTGGATAAAATATTCAAATTTTCGGTATTTCTATGGATGTTTTTTTCTTTTTCCCCCCCATGATAGCACAAAACAGTACAGTATTGTGTACTGTTTTATGATCAGAGGGATTTGTATTGTCGGACAAATGAATAGTCTCAACTATACATACAATCCTTGGCAGGGTATGTATAAAAAAATTCAAGTGCTCTTTGATTGTTCAAGTACTATTTAAGCCTTTGTCATCATGGAAAACAGCAAGAAGAACAGAAACCTTTGTGCCATTGCAACTTTCAATTCAGTTCAATTCAATGTTATTTATATAGACTCAAGGCGCTTTATACGCAACGTGATCTACTACTTTAAACTAATGCAGTACTTGCACGAAATGTACAACTGACTGCTATTTTATGAGGCAAAAAGTCACATTCATTGTTTTCCTTCCTTTATCATGTGTGGACAGCACTGATTTATTTCCATCCACCACAAAAGGTCAGTTCCAGTAACACAGATCAGATCAGACCCAGACGTGCATAAAATAGCGTTCAGGATTTCCCTCTTAAGCCAAAAAAAAAAAAAAAAAGTTTAAAGAAAAAAACAAAACAGCCAAATCCTCAAGAATTTGTGACGTTCACTTTGTTTCCAGAGCAACACTGAATAAAATCATGACTCATGTGTTTGTGCCTCAGGTGGAGAGTTTACACATGTTACAAAAATCCAGAGAGAACAGGTAGGATCTGACAGCTTTTGTGTTTTTGTATAAATTTACAATAATTTATTACTTAATCTATTAGCTGATGAACAGAAAATTAATCTACCACAATTTAAATAATAAATAAATATTAATTTTAGCTACAGTATGTGCAAAAGTCTTGAGCCACCCCTCATTTCCTTGTCTTTGCTTCCATGGAGCCGGACTTTCTTGAAATCTTAATGGTCTTGATTAAGTTCTCCAGGCTTATTATGTCCTTTTTCACTCTTTTTCAGTCCAGTCCTTGTACTCAACCATTTTCAGAGGAATGTTTTTCTTTGTTTGTTAAGCCACTCAACACTGACCTATATGAATCATTCAAACAAAAACAGCACCTAACCCAAGGGATGAACCAGTCTTGTACCTACACATAGCAGATAACTTAATACACACATAATTAGTTGCCACTTCATTCGTTGAATATATGAAAAATGGCACACTGTCAAGAAGTAATTTTTAAGGAAAGGAAGCAGCAAGGAAAGCCGTGGTCTTGTGAGTGCGTACAGCCATCTGTGAAAGATGTTGGAGACTCTTTGATGGTTTGGTACTACATTTCAGCCAGTGGCGTTGGGGATCTTGTTAAAATTGATGGAAATATGAACACAGATTTCATCACTTAGAGATCATCAGATTTTGATCCACCATATAATACCATCTAGAAAGCGTCTGCTTGGAAACGGCTTCATTTTTCTGCATGACAATGATCCCAAACACAATCCCAGTGCAGCGAAAACATACCTGGAACACTATCAGTTGAGGATCAGCCTCCCCAGAGCCCGGACACCAACATTATTGAAGCAGTGTGGGATCATCTTGACACTGAACAGAACAAAAGGGAGTCAACAACCCAAAAGGAAATTTGAATGTTCCTCAAGAAGCCAGGAAAACTATTCCTGAAGACTACATAAAGAAATGAGAAGGAATTCTGCTTTAGAGAGTTCAGGCTGTTTTAAAGAATCAATGTGGTCATTAGCAAAATCTGAGCGAGAGACTCTGTTTTTGCCCTGTTTTCTATATTACATTTGCATGTTTCAATAAATTTCTGCATCCATCCAAAAATCAATAAAAAAGATTTTAGTGCTTTTTTTTCTTAAATAAATGAAATACCTTAAGAAGTTAATCATCTATTGAAGCTGCTGGAAATAAACTGAGTGTGACATCGCATCATGTCGCCCACAGAAAAATACACCACTAAGCACCAAACTGGGTTCAGAAACACAGGAAATACTAGCTGAGGGTGGATTTTTCCTTTTCCATCAATCACCCAGGCTCAGCCCATTGTGACATAATTGTCTGTGATTGGCAACCAGCTTATTATCCACTGTACCCCCTGCCACTCCAAGCTGCTGCTCAAATAGCCTGCTTCTACTTTTTGATCCAGAGGTGTGCTTCATATCTGTCTTAGATCTTAGGTTTTTGGCTTAGATCTATTCCCTTAATTCTAAATTACTTCTCAGTGGCTCAAACATGTAAACATTAAAACAATTCTTTTATTTAATCAGTGTAAAAAATACAACTTGTGGTTTAATGGGAGGTGATTACTTGGCTTGGCACATGAACTAAAAAGCTGTTCACAGCTTGACATTTAACACTTTTTCGTTTGTACAAAAAAGTCAGTGAAACAGAATGCTTGTTAATAAGTGAGCTTTAGGGGGTAAAAAGGTATCAGCGTTTTAACAAACTCCTGCCACTTAGCAGGTATCTTGGCAATGTCACCAGGTGTTTACTGTATTTGGAAAATTATCTGTGTAAGTCTCGATCTAAACACACAGGAGCTTTGATTTTAATGTTCACGGGGACATGAATAAAGCACATATAGAAAGTTGGCAATGCTCCTTTTTGATGGGGCTGTTGGAGTTCTTGCTTCTTCCCACAAGTAATTTTTAAAATAGTGCTTTCAGTGTTACACAACTAATCCAGTTGAGAGCGTTTCGCTCAGTGCTGATAAGTGTCTACTTGTGATCACCGCACTTATTTCCAAATGGATTTTTTAACTGCGCTTGAGATGTGATTTATTTTTTAACCTACCCACTTGTCACGTTACGTAATTTAGTAGTGTCTGTGATGCACCTGTACTTTGGGCAAAGAGCCCTAGAAGTCTTAACACCAGGGGCAGCTACACATGAGTCACATGAAATTTCTGGTATGTATCAGCTTTTCTGAAGCTTTGACAATCACGATTTGTTTCAGGGCGACATAAGGCAACTGAAATGAGCCCAGTCACAAACACCATGGTGGAAAAAGTCCAGAAAATCATCATGATGCGTGCCTATCAAAGGAAAACACCGACCAGCTACAACATTAAGAAATAACCCCTGAGTTGAATCAGCACCTCTGAGATTATTACCAAAAACACAAAGTTTAGCTTTTGAGACCTGCTGACTGACAGGTTTTAATCATTTATTCATTTTTTTATGTCACCCTTTCACTGTGCCACCGCTCCGAAGCCTCTGCTCTTACCTACACACTGCGCAGACGTATTGTTCATGTGCAGCTAACCAGATCAATTTCGACACACCTACAGGATTCCTCAAAGCATACTGGATGCCCTCGAATAACACCTCAGTTAAAAACACTGTGATGTTGCTCAAATATATATATTTGTGTTTACAGTACTCTATGTGCTTTTTTTTCCCTTTTTGCACGTTATGCTTCTGGATTACTGGGATTGTAGCACCACAAACATCGACTTGCAGTCATGTCTTTGCTGAGGACTGCCAAGTATCTGCTGCCCACTTGGCAGTTATAGACAAATTATGCTGTAATGAAATCTGTTGTGCTGAAAAGGCTACACGGAGCTGCGTCTCTTAAACATCCTGAATGGAGAGAAAATGTGTAGGCCTGATATTGGGCTTATGCTCGTGCACTGACGTGGACTGCAAACGCAGCCTGTTGAGCCAGGCTCCATGTAGTGAGCACAGTCATTGTTCTGCTGCAAGTAGGCATCGGAGAATGTCATCTCCTGAGGGATCATGTTGGGTATGGAGTCCTGCTCCTTCTCCTCGCTCCTGTACCATAAGCAGGAGCAAATAGTCTGGAATTGAAGCACTTCAGTGTAGACACCTTTTAAATCTTTAGCCTTTGTGGTGTTATCTGCTACAGGTGTGGAGGAAGCTGATATTGAGACTGGTAACAGATGAGCCACCTCTCCTCTGGGCTTACTGACAGAGAGCAATGCCTTCTCCTTGGCGTCCCTGCGTTCATCCTCAGTGTTCATGGTCAGGAAGCGAAGCACCACCAGGTTTAGGAACGCTCCAATCACCGTCAGGCCCGTGAGGATGTAAACAAAGCAGAAAGCCACATATTTAGGGTCATTCTGCAGGGCCTCATTCTTCTGCAGAGCCACGTAGTCTCCAAAGCCAATAGTGGTGAGTGTAATGAAGCAGTAGTAGAAGGCATTTAAAAAGCTCCATCCCTCCGAGTGAGAGAATGCCACAGCCCCCACGCACAGGGTGCTCATGCAGGAGAAGAAGCCCACCGTCACCATGTTTGCCATGGAGACCTCGGTGTGACGCATTCCCAGGCACTTCTTGGCTTGGTGCAGCAGGTATCTGACAAACGTGTTGATCCTCTCGCCCAGACTCTGGAACATGACCAGGGTCAGCGGGATCCCTAGGAGGGCGTAGAACATGCAGAACACTTTCCCTGAGTCGGTGCTCGGCGCCGCGTGGCCATAACCTGAGACAGGGAATATTGCATATCTTTAGACATCTTTGCCTCTATTCTTTTGCCGTGGTGAGTCATAGCAAGAGACGGCCTCACCTAATATAAATGCCTAAGAACGGCAGCTGCTTGATTTAATTCCACAGGAAACCAACACACACTCCCACTAAGAGAAAAAGGGAAAGCCCAGGGAAACGATTCAGCTTGGCATTAATGTAGTGAACTTACTTCTACTTTATTTATAACTCGCAGATTGTTGACAGCATAGACATTGCAATATTTATAAATATAACTTATGCTGAAGTGAACCAGAACCAAAGCCATAGACATCTCCATATCTTTTCTTCTTCATATGGCATCATTAAATGATCTTTTTATTCCATAATAAATAATTAAATTACACCTGGTGTTGTTTTGTCTTTAATCATCCAAGAAAGCCACAATGGCATACAATTATTCTGATTTACTTAGACAGTCATAATAACGATTCAGTGTCCATGTCTCTGTGTGTCTTAGCTATTACATTTGAGATAAATATCACTTTTCTGATTGGTAAGCCAATTACAGCCGCTCTGAAAATATAACTGAAAGAATAAAGATCTGCTGCACAAAAAGATGCTTTTTTGAATAATGTTACCTACCCAGAAGGGATGAAAGGCTGTAAGCAAAGCTTCATTTTGTTCAAGAATATTAAAGTAAAATTCAGCGTTGATGGGCACAGCAAACACATGAAAATTTGGGGGTTATTATAGGATATGTCAAGTCTGATCCATTTCCAAAATGTTTCCAAATAAACTGTATAAGGCATGAGAAGAAAATAGGTTTTTTAATCATACTATCAAGGTACAACCTCCTCCTTTAAAATAAAAACTAGCAACAATGTGCTAACAAGTGAAGATTTATTTTTTTCACTCTTTTAGGAAACAGAATCTTCAGCTTTAAAAATGTTTTAAATATAGTGCTACAGACAGGATTTTCTTTGTCTAAATAGTTAGAAGAGACCCCAGGAATTGTGGGAAGTCATAAGTGTTCTTTCTGTTGTTTTAAATGAGACACACAAACTAACATAAGGGGGGCTCCAGTGACTCCACTACCTCTAAAAATCTTTCCTCCGGCCCTGTGCTGAACATCTCTCAATGAAATGCAATAATACATCACATGTATTGATTAAATAACTGTTGCTCACCTATCGTCGTAATCACAGTGATGGCGAAGTAAAAGGACCCAGCAAATTTCCACTGGACCCCTGCTTTGTGAGGATTGAGCTGTAAAACGACGTGCTCGAGCTCTTCGAAGTTCTCTTTGGTCAAGTTATATTTGCGCATGAGTTCGTACTTTCTGGCGTCGAGCTTCCTCTTGTGACTTTTCTCCTGCTTCGACTCCAGGGTCTCGAAGACGGCCGCTCCGACCACCAGGTAGGTGAGGATGCTCATGATGAGGGCGAGAGTCCTGGCGTTTTGTCTCTTCATGATAATAAGGAGAGGGGGAGAGAAAAATCGAGCGCAGGTGGGAGCTGAGGCTCTCTGCCACCTTCTCCTGACGGGCTCCGGATCCAACAGAGGGGGGACTTTGGAGAAGGAGCTGTTCTCTCAGCACCACCCCCACATCACAGTTGGGTTGCTACTGTATTTGGACTATTTGTCACCGACTTATATTTAGATTGCGCAGGAAAGGAACACAGGGCAATCCCACAGACTGTCAGAGGCGGCTTGTTGGAGTAGCAGCTCCAAGCAAAAGCGCTCATCTTCAAGGAGTTTATGCACTAAATATACAAAAGCACGGCCAGCCTCCGTCGTTGAGGCCACAACGAGCACATTACTCCAGTTTCCAAGAAGAACGGTAGCGCCGAAAAAAAGATGGAAGAAAAAAAAAACAAAACTAAACTTGATATCCATGTGATCGTACACGTAAATATTTACCTAGTGGCTATTTAAACAGACCGGCTCTTCTGGTTCCCAAGTTGTCTAGCAACCTGACGATAACCGTTCTGTGCAAATATTTTAAAAAAGCGCATTCTCCTCACGGTGCGCTGCAGGATTCTTCAGATCAATTAAGATTATAAGAAAAAAATCCACAGGGGAAAAAATTAGAATTACTATTTGAGAGTAAAGAAGAGGTTCAAAGACAGACATAAGATTTCTAGTCGCCTATTATAACTTAACTTACCTAATGGTGGTTCACTATAAGGACGTCGGACCAATCCATATCAGAGGTGGAGACAGATTAGAAAAACTTCTTCACCAGAGACATTCTGGGTTGCAACTCCACAGGCTACTAAAACTCCTATACGTTTTAATATATTGTGCTCCTTTTGAAATCTTGACATTTACACTTGCTTAAAGCTGTGTGTTTATGTTTTGTTGTATCTTATTAATATAGGTAGCTCATATCAACTTAACTGCCCCCCCCCCATTTTTCTGTTTCTTGTGTTTCAGATAATTTGGATGACTATAATCGGTCATTGTTGTATATGATGTTTTTTTCTTCTCCCCCTATTTTCTTCTTCTTTCTTCTTTTTCTGCTTTCTTCAGAATTTAATCTTCACTGATTGTATCATCATTGCGTCAGACCCTGATGGAGACTTTTTAGTCCTCGTGCTGTATTGCTCCAATATTTTTTCATTCAAATCAATTGGAATGTTTTGTCATATGCACAACAATGCGTCCTTTCAGCTGCATATGTTTTGACCCGTGACAGCAGGGAGCCTCAGTTTCCTCAAACATCATCACAGGGAGCTAAAGTTGAAAGCGGGCATCACTTGAGCTTCCTGTCTGTGTGCTGCACTCACATCAGCATGTTTCACTAAATGGTGAAAGTTACAGAAAAGATCAAATTCCACTTTTCACTAACGCAGCTATTAAATCTTTCTAAATTCAACTTTTATCCCTTCCTCACACAGACAATAATGGAGAAGAATCATGCAAATGATGACAATTTGAATATTTTTCAAGTTTTAATGTTTAATGCCTGTAATGACACAATATTCAAGAGATGCCATAGCCTCATAAAAAGCTTTTTTCCTGCCTTCATTTTCTCTTCTGCCTAAAAATACAAAGCTGCACAAGGTGAAGTTTAATTAATTCCGAGTTTAAGGTCTTCTCGCTGACTTTTCTTTGGTGTTTTTTTTTAACATGTGTTTCATTTTTAATGCCGAACATTAAAAATGCTTCTGCAGCACCGGAGAACATTTTCAAACAACAAATGGAGAAATAATAAAAGATGTAATATAGAAACCATTAAGCTGCTTCAGTTTTGGCCTTTTTGTCTTTTCTTGTCTTTTTGTCTGCTGTATCCTGTTCACTGTAAATTAGATGCTCTAGATCTGACCTGAACACAAACAGGACGGTGTAAGAATACATTAAATGTTCCCATGTGGTTAAATAAAGTAACTCCAATAAGTAAATTCTGAAAATCATAAAAACAATACATTTGAAGCAGGAGAGATTATGTAAGTATATTAATGAAATAAGTTGCACTGTTATTTACACAAATAAAATACAGGAGAACATGACGAGGAGGGCCAGACCACCAGGAATATTCATGAGTAATTATGAATTAATTTGCTGTGAGTCTCAGTTTTATTTTATTGCAAACTGAGATTCATTTTGTATGACAGCATTACATCAAGCCTCTTGGGACACAAGTGGGAACCTTTCTACACTTTGCTGACATTTCTTTGGCAAAACTATCAAACAAATAAAATAAAAAAGATCTTTTTTTAAGCATCAGGCATTCATTTAAATAAATCAAAATTTAACCACTTCAGTTTGTTACAGTAACAAAACTGCAAATGTAAATTGCAACAACTACTGATTAGTTATGATAAGATATATAAGTTCTATAGTACTCCTAGTACTAGCTTTGTTCATACAGTATATCTGGTCTCCAGAGTGATGCACATCAGCATTTTAATGGGACTAAACAGCACATTGGAAACATTTGAGTGCAACACAAAACAGAATAGAGCAAAAACAACCCACAGTGCCAGTTTCAGCCAGCAAAGTAAAACTCGTGCAGAAATTATTACATAGATCAGCTCCATGCCTTTTCTGGGTGTTTGGGATCACATTTGGCTTCAGTTATATTAAAATGCTGAACAAGGCCTTCACGAGGTATTTGTGAGAGAGCTTTAGGTCTCTGGCATTTCTACAAGGCCTCAAACTCATCAATCCTCTGCTTGGTGTTGCCCATACGGATCTGACGGAGGGTCTTGTACTTATCACGGCCAGCGCGGACGTTCTCGGCATGGAGTTTATCGTTCTGGGTCTTCTTGTTATCGTCTCGGGATTGTGCCAGCTCTGAGCTCAGGTCCTGCGGAGGAGTCGTGCCCAGTTATTAAACTGTATACAATTCACTTCATCAACAGATATCTTGGCAACACCTCCATTAGAAAGTGATATCTTTAATTTAATCATCTTGTTCTTTTGGCTGTTCCTTTTTGGGGTTGCCACACTCGATCATCTGCCTCCATTGCCTCACTATATCACTTGCATCCTGCTCTGTCACACCGACCCTCTGCCCATTCAGGTCACTCCCAATGAAAATCTTATCGCCAGCTCTTTTTGTCAATGTCACCATCACCTTAAACCATAATCATACCAGGTTTTACTACCATCTTGTAAACCTTCCTTTTCACTCTTGCTGCAAATTCCCCCTGATACTCGTCTTCACCCACTCCACCCTGCCTGCACTCTCTTCTTCACCTGTCTTGTGCACTTTCTGCTGCTTTGAATGCTTGACCCCCCAAGGTATTTAAACTCATCCACCTTCACTACCTCTGCTCCTTGCTTCTTCTCTATTTCAACTATCTGTCTCTTGCTCACACATGTCTCTCTTCTGTCTCTCTTCTACTGCTCTCTCCAGCTCTTGCCTCCCCTCTCCAGGCTCTTTTCCTGAAGTATTACAAGAGAGGGAAAAGAGCCTCAACGAATCGTGATTGAAAATGTGAGTGAATTCAAAAACCTCAAAGATGATGGTAGAAGTATTATCCATTAGAAAAAAAAACTTTTAAAAACCTTATCTTGGGGCAAAGTCACAGATAGTTTTAAATGTTTATGTTCGAGTGAAGATTGAATTTAAAGTTAACTTTGATAATGCCTCGATAAACCCTTCCAAGAAAGGTGCTCAGGTGCCGAGTAGTGAGACTTATTTCTAGAACAACATTATTTGGGCTTCTATAATAGATGCTTAAAATTTCATGGCTTTTTTTAACACAGCATATTTTTGCTATAAGTGTTTTGGAAGCTATAGAAAAGCTACGAGAAAAAAGTGTCTTAAGCATTGCTGCAGACTCCGGCTGATCTGGGATGTATTCCAGGTCCCTGAACTAACCTGAAGCTGCTTCTGCAGGCGCTCGTTCTTCTCGGCCTCGGTGAGTCGCTCCTCCTCCTGGCGGTCGTAGTTGATGCCTTGTGTCTGCAGCTCGGCGCTATAGGTGCTGTTTTCTTCGCTGTGCTCATGGTCACTCTCGCTGTCTGAGGAGGAGGAGGAGGAGGATGAGGAGGATGCATGCTCAGCAACAGGAGCTGAGTTGGCAGAACTCATCACAGTGTGCAGCTCCTCCTTCGTTTTCAGCAGACTCTCCTCCACTTCGACAGCCTAAAAGGAAAGGTGGGGAGAGGCGTGTGTTAGATTTGTTGGTGGTTTGCATCATTGAGCATTTGATTATAATATAAATGTAGTATTTTAAGTGTTTTAGTTGTATATATATGACAGTAATACCCAAATTTGCAAGGACATTGACAAATCAAGCTTTCTGGTTTTTGTAAACTTGAACCTACCTGCCTTTCTGACCTCTCCACTAAAACATGGCTCCTGAATTTATACTTTCAAACCAAAGCAATCTAATATGAATAAGATGCAAGGGTTACAGTACATGAGTAGTTATGTTTTTGAGGAAGTATGCAATGTAAATTACAGTGCAAAAGATTCAAATTATGGATGACTTATACAGATAAATCGTTTTCTTTCTTTTAAACAATAAATTTATATTTGATATTGTGCTGGGACATTTTTCTGGTATTTCCTGTGACTTGTGGAGCTTTTGACTGCATGCTGGAGACCCACCTTGGTGTGCCATGTCTCAGCCTCTTCCTCCTTGGCTCTCTTGGCCTCCTCCAGCGCAGTAATCTTGGCGCTATATTCGGCCAGCTCTGCAGCCTGAAGGAGGAAGCACAACACTGTGACGTGAGAATAACAGAATAGGCATGCTGTCATTTTAGAAATGTGATGAAAGCAAAAGCAAAAAACCTCCGTGGTACTTTAATCTGCCATTAGAACAGCCGATAAGTGCTTAGAATGAATTCAGGAGATTTATCAGGACTTTTTCCCTCATGTGCTTCACACTCACCAGCTGCTCCTGGCTCTTTAACTGGTCCTCAGCTTGCCTGGCCAGCTCCTCCTTGGCTATTATAGCCTCCATCCTCTCAGCCTCCAGCCGGGCCGCCTCCTCCTCCACCCTCCTCCTCTCCTCCTCCAACCTCATGGCCCGGTCCAGCTGCTCCTGAAGCTCTGCGTGACAAAGTCAGAACACGGGGAAATCTATAAAGCACTGTACGTTGTTATAAAAATGCAGGATAAGAAATTCAAAACTCTGATTTGTCTTAAATCGGGGTGCTTTCTTTTTTAAACATTTCTATGTTAACATCATAGAAAAAAAAGATTAAAGTTACAGGGAAAAAAGGAAAATACAGTACTATTAAAATATTTTGGTGGTTCCAAAACTCTAATAAAGGTTTTATGAATTTATTTTATTATTATCTTTACTGCACATCTTCATTATCATAAGACATCAAGGTTGTTAAGATCATAGAAATATGAGCCTTGTGTTTTAGATTTTAAAAATGATTTGAACGTTTTAAATGCTAAATGCCGATGATTGGGAAAAAAATATGTTAACTGCAGATATTTAAAGAAATGCCTTTTGTGAAGATCATATGTTTGACAAAATTCGCCCAACATAACAAAGTTGCTTTTCAAGTAACGATCTCCCATCC